CTTGTCCTATTGTTCAGTCCTTCTGTTTCGTTGCCTCTCCACACTGAGCTCATTCTGATGCCGTGCAGTCCGCTCTCCGCACATTCTCTCTGATGTTCCTGCCTGCTCGTCAGAAAGCGAGCGACACCAGTGCTTCTCCTCTCTTTCTTCTTCAAAGGAAACACGACCTTCCAAAACGCGGGCGCGTGCGGCAGCTAGCAAAAAATAAGCACATTTTGCTTGGTCAAATTGGACTTCTGTCTGGGCTAAGTTAAAATTTAATAAATGAGACAATAATTAAGATTTAATATTTAAATCTTAAGAATTTAATATTTTAAAACTTGCAAAGACTATTCACAAGCCATTTAATCTGAACTGAAAGCAAAGCAGAAACACACTCTGGCAATTGAATTATACCCGATTCCAGAGTGGAAATATCAAGTCACTGAACACACTTAATCCTTGAAAGTCCAACAATAATAATGGCAGATGAAAAGACATATTAGAATGGAAAATATTGTAAAATGGGTCAGAAGTAAGATATTGTCAGACATTACACGTGGCTTCAAGTTTAATCAATATTTATGAGTACTTTCTGCTTTTCACACATCTGGTCTCTATAAAACACCACAGTCGATTGGAGTAAGGATTCATATAGAGATGGCGAGAGGTGAGGCTGTTAGGCTGTGGAGCACAGGATTGGACAGATCTCCAGGCTGGCAGGAGTGGTGAGCATTAACAGCCAATCAGCACCCAGCATGTGTGGCAATATTAGACACGTAATGCATGCAAACCCTCGGACAGAAATCACATGGAGTGGGTTCATGACAAGTCACACTCCACACCTCTGCACACAAGAAGTACATTATATACAGGAGCACTTAAGTGTCTATTAAGATGAAGAGTCCTCTGTTTGCTACAAAGAAAAATGCAATTAATTCTGCCAGCCATAATGTACAAGCAGACTCATGTTCACTTTCACAGTCTGTTTTGTACATAGGTTACCGACTAATATATATGCTTGTGTTGCAGTAATCTGTAACAATTAGCACTTAGGATGAAGCTGCTCATTGTCTATTTAGACTGTAATGTAAACATTACAGAAGAACAGCAGCTGAACTCCTCATCATCAGAGAGGGAGACGGATCGAATTCCGGGTTTTTTTTTTTTTTTTTTTGAGACTGTGGTTTCTCGGATGATTCGTTCTCGTGGTGGAAGCTGTCATGTCTCCCTAATGAGGTTCCGATAATCAGGTAAGGGGTGATTTTAAGCACCGTTAAGCTGGCAACAAACCGTGCTCAGCCCCGCGTGAGGTTTTTCCCCTACCGACTCTTCCCCCTATCTGCCCAGCTCCTCGTTAGTGATGAATGTTGGGGAGAAACAGGCGTGAGCTGCCAATGCCAGGGGTCTCTGTTTCAAGTTTGGGGTCTCTGAGTTGTTGAAGACTAGGCTCTCAGAGAAGTCAGAGAATTTGAAAGCAAGAGGTATTTTTCTGAATCTGCAAACCCAAGGTGCATGTAGCAGTCCCTGAGCAGTCGGCTGTTTTGCCGGAAGGTGAGGAAAAACCAGGCATCAAACTAAAGAAATCTGCATAGAAGATAACTTTGCATTGTAAAATGCAAGCAAATTAGCCATGTAAAAAAACCAGCCCTGCGAATTACTGTGACCACTGAGGTAGTACTGATGTGCCGGGTTAATTGTTTTGCTCCCTTTATCCTGAGAAACGTCGCAAAGCATTTCTCCATGGAAGCAAAAGTGGACCTTGACTTTTTTGGATTCCCTCCAACTAAGGAGACGTTGACTCATGAACAGATCACTCTGATGTTTCCCAAAAACGTTCAGTATGGTGAAGTGGCACCTATATTTTTCCTCACTGTAGAATTACATATAAATCCTATTTAGCAGAGATTAACTGTAAAAATCTAATTCGATTGTGTTTAGTGGCAAAAGCTGCTTCTTGACATACTAGTGTACGGGGGGGTGGTATTGTCATTCATTCTCAGAAATCCTGGGAAGTACTACCTATAATCATAGTATTATCCATTGATATTAAAATAGGTGGTGATAGTTGTTTCTTGCCATTTAGCACCCCTAGACTGCCATTAACAGACCAGGTTGACCAAGATGCCACCTTATAGTTTAATTTGAGTATCTTGCTTCTTCCAATGACATCTTGGCCCCGGTGATTGTGCGATCAGTGGTATGCACACTGACACGCAGACCAGGGCGTGCCATCCTGTACACGTTTACCTCCATGTTACCGGTAAGAGGGCAGGTCTGTGCGCACAGCTGAGTGAGGGGCTGATGAGAGGAAGGATACTTATGGGGAGAATTTCTCTGACCTCTAGCAGGAAGATGCGTAAAAGCGGGAAGCCTGCTCCGAATCGCCCTTCAGCGAGGCACTCCCTGGGGGTGCGAGATTTTTAACAGCATCCTTCCCCCCCCTCCCCCCACCAGACGGGTGCCTCTGACTGCTTAATAATGTTCTGGAGCCTAGTTCTAGTCACTGTGGCAATTACCTTTACGTCAAGCCATAAAAGATATGTCCACCCGTGGGACAGGAACTCTGCCCATTACATAATGCTCATTACGGGCTAATGTCGAGGCTGATTCATCCTGCCTTCAGTTGTCTGCCACCCATCTCGCCGCTGTAATTGCTAAACTGAAGCTCCTTGCGGGCGCCATGGAATGACAATTGGCACATCACATGTAATTAAATCACAGCCTCTCCAATGGGATCTTATTCATTAAGTAGTGACCTTAAGAGGTAGACCTAACTGCAGTTTCGTGGAACTAAAGATCCTTTCGTGTCTGTGTGTGGTCTAATCGGACCAGATACGTGTGGCTTCCACCAGCAGCTGCTCCCTCACACCTCCTACAGGCCCATGATGCATCTGCAACACAACCCATGCATGTCATAGTCCTATAGGTATTCTGTTCCTCATGCGTAGTCTGCAGCTCTGTGTCAGACTCCTCTGCTGGACCATATGCTACTTCACGATGCCGTCTGTGTCTCCAGAGAGGCCAGAGCACCATGCAGGTATTCAGGCACTTACTGCATTAGTCACCTGAAAGCCAGTTGTGCTCGACTTTCCTTAGAAAAGAAGAAAAGGATGACTGAATAAATATCAGACAGACAGAGTTACTGCTTCAATTCCTGCAGCATTTAACCTGTATTCAATATGTTCTCCCATGTCGTTGCAGATTGTTTTTAAGATCTTCTTTCAGAACTATGGCTTCCCAAATGCATAAATAAACCCGCATCATGCTGGATCAAGCAATTACAAGAGTGACACATATTGTCTTTCTTCTCCAGGCAACAAAAAATAGAGCTTGAATGATTTCTTTTCGCAATACCACCTACATGTCAGTACAATTTTCTCAGTTGTTGTTCATTATGTGAAGAAAAAAAAAAAATCTTCATTTGCATTTAATGAGTTCATTGGACATTCATACCATACCTGAGGATTTTGCAAAGACTAGTTTCTGAGAGAGGCAGTTTCATTTTCAGCAGATACATTGGTAGGTACCAATCCGTATTGATAAATGAGATTGTGGGAGTGTTTCGCTTGATAAACTCGACTGTAAAGCCATCACTGGCTGATTTTCCTCTTAATTGACTCTTATAATGATGAGACACCTAATGTGATTTCCGAATAGTCTGCTCCCTCAGTTGTCCGTCATCTTCTCAGGGAAACGGAAGCAGTGGTGAGCATGATCTGTCCTGTCTCTCTCAAATGGAGGTTGAGTACTCTGTACATTATGCATCAGTCTCACAATATGCAGGAGATAAACTGACTCTGCATGAAATTGTGCCCTTAAGCTGGGTCTTATTTGTGTGCCTAATATGCTCCTAGGACTGCCTGTCTATCAAAATGCACATCATCATTATAACTCATTAAATTTCACTGTTTACATCCCTCTTAGCGAATAGTTACACAAATTCTAAAGAATTCTTAAAAAAAGAAAAAGAAAAAAAGAAAAGCTTACTTATGGCATTATGCAAATGCAATAATGTGGCACCTATCAGAGCGCTCAGAAGGCATGGCTAGTGGGGAGAATCTAGTTAGCTGTGTACACATATGCTTCAGTTATGCTTACGGCAAAAATTATAATTAGGAAGATGGAGCGTGCAGCCCTATCCATACGATTACCAGCAGGCTCCTCATCCGCAGCTGAAAATGATCCCCTCGACCAAGCCTTTGAAAAGTCTCCACAGCTAATTACAAATAAAGTACCAGCTAAGCTTATTGCGGTGAATTATTAAGACTTTATCTGAAGTGGACCAGGAATCAATCCCGTAGCACTCTGATGGTGCTGCAAGGCGTACGTTAACCTCTCAGTGTGCGGAGGGCGATGTTGCTTCTCCATATAAAATCTGTTCTTCTTTATCCAGGCAGCCCAAGACTGGCTTGGTTATTGTGCCATTATATGCAAAGTTCTTGTATGGAAATCAAACGTCACTTAATTAATGTTTCTGTATAATTTTGTTCAGAAATGATAATTTGTACAGTGAAAATGCATGCATTCATCCATCCATCCATCCATTCATCCATCCATCTTCTAGCCAATTATCTTGTCCAGGGTTGCTGGAGGGCCTGGAGCCTATCCCAGTCATCATGGGGCACAAGGGGCAGGTCAGGAGATACCCCGGATGGGATGACGGAAAAATAATTCCTTTAAATCGGAGTCGTATGCAGACTCATTAAACAAACATTTCGATTGCTTTGCTTCAGCTGCAGTGGTCTGCAGAAACTGAAATCAAAAGACTGGCGTTTGTGATGAGGTCTGTGACCACGACTGGATAAACTGCTTCAGAAAACAGATGGATGTGTAATTGGTGGGATGGTGTTGTTACCTCTGTGCTCTAATTATCTAGTCATTTTTAAACATTCTAAAAATTAAAGAGAAAAAATTGGCATTCTCAACCTGCTAAGCCTTGTTGGAGAGAAAACATTCACTGCCATTGGTTTTAATTTAATTTCTTGATTAATCTCTCTGTTTGTGTTTTCTTTCGAAAGGTTACTGGCAGCAGAGTGCAGGCTCCAGCGACAGAGCTTATCGAATGGGAAAATGAGCAGAATCTTCCTTCCAGCGTCGCCAGTCCCCGAATGGCAAACCCTCTGCGCTTGTTTGCCAAGAGCCCTTCTGGACTCAAGCAGGCAGCCAGGGATGTGTCGTATTTAGACAACATGGAGGACCTCTGGGACTGGCTGTCCAATCAGACGGACACACGGGAAACGCGTGCCAGGGCCAAGCGGAGACCCATCGTAAAAACAGGGAAGTTCAAAAAAATGTTCGGCTGGGGAGATTTCCACTCAAACATCAAGACGGTGAAGCTGAACCTGCTGATCACCGGCAAGATCGTGGACCACGGCAACGGCACGTTCAGCGTCTACTTCCGGCACAACTCCACCGGCCAGGGCAATGTTTCAGTGAGCCTGGTGCCCCCATCCAAGGTGGTGGAGTTTGAGATCTCACAGCAGTCCACACTGGAGACCAAGGACACAAGGGCCTTCAACTGCCGCATCGAGTACAAGAAGACAGACCGGGTCAAGAAGACGGCATTTTGCAACTTTGACCCATCCAAGACCTGCTATGAAGAACAGACCCAGTTTCACGACTCCTGGTTGTGCTCAAAGCCCTTCAAGGTCATTTGCATCTACATCGCTTTCTTCAGCGTTGACTACAAACTGGTACAGAAGGTTTGCCCTGACTACAATTACCATAGTGACACCCCTTATCTCTCTACGGGCTGAAGTCACTTCTGCATGTTTATGGGTCTCTTGGAGCACTGATGGTCTCTGGGGCCTTAGCTGACCTGTCTGGTGACCCTGCAAAGTCATAAACACCATGTGTTCCATCTCTGTCATGAGCAAATATCAAGTTTCCTCCAGATGTTGAGGGAGAGGATATGCTGTGGACTTTCTGACGAATTCCAGGTTTTGTGCCAGCCAACCGCATCACCATCAACCTCATTTTTAGATGTATAGTTAGGATCTACATTTTTTTTAAAACAGATTGGAGTTGTTAATAAAACTTAATAGTCTTTTTTGCAGTGGAGGTGTACAGAATTTTTTTTTTTCCTGTGACAGACCTTATTGTCAGATATTTCCTGCTTTCAGTTTTCTGGTAGGCAGACTGTTTTAGCTTACATTGTGCAGCTGATTCTGTGACAATTTAACATTGTCCCTCCCCTGAATAGGACTTTAAAAGCTTACTTGAAATCTTCCAATTTTGACCGAAGGCACTTGGCTTTAACGGACTGCAGCTCTGCTACCGAATGCTTTCGAGTATCACTCCAAGTAATCTTCAATTTCCCCCAAGCCACATATAAATTAAAATCCTACTTAGAGCTGTCCGACAAGACCGAGCAGAGCACAGGCTTGCAGTTTACGGGGTTCAGTTGGCTTGGTTTCAGTACCGTGGCAGAATTATACGGAGGTGCTTCGTCTGTGCTGGGGGGTGTCGGAGTCTGTCGGCGGGGGGGAGCATGTGTATGACAGTAAATCTACTTTTCTACTAGTATGCAACTAAATCATTGTATTTTGAGAGCCATATTCCATATACCAGGCACTTTCAGACCACAGTACAGCCCGTGCTGAAAAACAAATACGAATAATATTCTGTAAATACACCCTGTAAGCTTTATGGCGTTTTCCTGCTCCCGTTGTCATCCCGGTGTCTTTCATGGTATAAGCCTAGGACGCGTTTTACTTTCACTTTAAACGGAGAAGCGTGCCGTGAATTCAAAAGTTTAATTTCACATGCCGGGAGACAACTTCTTAAAATTGAGCCGCTACTCAGGTGGCTGGAATGAAGCTGGCAAGCGCTAAATATAACTTTGTCATGGTCTTGCCACAGAGCTCGACATTTCCGCGCTTTTAATTAACAGTAATTATAGTGAGAAATGCAATTTGCATATCGTGACTGAGCAGACCAGCGGCCGAAAGTAAAATTAACCTTGGCGATGTGAAGGTACGCAAGCGTGCCGTTCATATTTTGTTTACTCTCCTTTTTTCTGACTGATTTACTGTGGCTGAAAAGATAGAACCCCAGCCGTCCCATGAGGTAAAGTGTGAATTATCCTTTGCTCCCCCCTCTCTGAAACCATCCAATGTTACCGTGTCCTTACCTGCATCCTTGTTTGTGTTATGGTCCCGTGTAAAACGCTTTACATTTCATGTGTGCTCTTACCTTTATAAAACATCACTGTGCGTATTATGCACTTTATTGCTAAATCACTCTAACTCTCTGCAGTCATTTAAATGACGTCATACCTTTGGTCCTTGCTAGTGGTTATTCATATGTATAGTTTTTTAAGGTGTTTACCGTAGTAGGTGAATGAAATTCCTGGTTAATTATTCTGCAACTAATGACTCTGGCTTAATTTATTCTTAAAAATTACACGAACGAGGCATTTGTAAAAATGGGCTTGTTTTGAGATGTACCTGTATATTTGGTTATTTCTGGAAAATGTTTAGGCTTTATATAGGCTATGTATAGTGTACATTTTTGTTTACTCTGAAAAGGGTTTATTTTGTGATTAAAATTTTGTTCGGAAAACAGAAGCGGTCATCGCATCATTTTTACGCGGGACAAAGGCCTGGCAAGGATAATTTGGTTGGGTCTGACCTTTGTGATGACCAGACTTTACAACATTACAACTGTGGACACGTCATGCCCACCGCTGGGCATCCCCTCTCATCTGCAGTGGGGCACCATGCCGCAGCTGTACCACCTGCCGATTAGACTAGGTAATCCACCTGAAGCTAAGCAGGTTTGGACATGGCCAGTACTTGGATGGAAGGAAAGCTGGGTTGCTGCTGGAAGAGGTGTTGCTGTGACCCACAGATTAGCCCATCCTGGGGTCGGCATAGATCCCAGTGCAGTGATGGGAGCACTGTGCTGTAAAAATGGTGTCGTCCTTCATATGAGATGTAAAACCAAGGTCCTGACTATCTGGGGTCATAAAAGGTCTCTGGGCAGCATCGTTCAAAAGAGTAGGGGTGGTACCCCGATGCCTGGGCTCAAGCTGCCCACTGTGGCCCTTTCATATCTGGCCCCCCTTTATCTAACTGAATTCTCTCCTGTCCCTTCACCTCCTTAACTACTGTGGGGTGAGCGTACTGGCTCAGAATGGCTGCCATCACATCATCCAGGTGGGGGCTATGCAGTGGCTCCCCATTAGCCTTGTAAAGGATTTTGAGTGTTTGAAAGGCGCTATATAAATGTATCATTCATTAATTCATTCATTGGATCACCACGGTGAACTGCGAGCCTGGTGCTCCTCTGTAATCTCAGTCCTACCTAGGACAACAGTCTCCTGGTGTCGCTACAGAGAAACCCAAACAAAAATGGAGATCCTGTCCAATTTGGTTCAGTTGCATCACTGTCACATATGCATACAAAGATTCTGAGACTTCCAGTGATGGCTTATGGGAAACCAAAAGGAGGAGCTTGGGAAACTGCTCCCACAAAACGCACCGAATTAGGGTCCATTAGAGTGATGGCCTGATGGCGGAGCGGTGTGCGGATCAGCGGGTTCAGACTATATACACCTGAGCAGGAGTTTGTCCGTTTAAATTCCGTGGCCTGCAAAGTGATTTCACTGTTGGGCCCGTGAGCTAAACCCTTAACCGCAGTTGCTCTAGGGACTGGCATTCTCAATTGTGCTCTGCTTTGGATAAAAGCAGCTGTTAAATAAGTAAATGAAAATGCACATTATTAAATGTAAATGTAGTCCACTTAAATGAAGTAGGAATGCATTTAAAAGCCACAGTGCAGCCAACCCTATTACCTCCATACTCTTGGTCATCTTCCGAAATGCAAAATTTCAGGAGCTTTTTGCAAAGAAAAAGGCAGATTAACTAGGGACACATCATCCATAAAAAGGTTAGTGGATGTTCAGCACTGTTGCCTCACACCTCTGGCTCCATGGGTGTGGAGTTTGCATGTTCTCCCTGAGCTGTCGTGGGGTTTCCTCTAGTTACACCACTTTCATCCCCCAAAGTCCAAAAACATGCTGAAGTTGCCAAATTTCCGGTAGGTGTGCATTGTGTGTGTGCTCTGTGATGGATTGGCACCCCATCCTGGGCTGCTCCCCGCCTGGGGCCCCAAAGGCTCCGAGATCCAGACCCCCGCGACCCTGAACAGGACAAGCGGTTACAGAAAATGGATGGATTGGGGAGGGGGGGTGGGGTCAGTGTTCGGCTAGGGATTGCAGGTAAATAAATCCAGATGAGTGTATTAACAGAACAGCTGTTTTGGGCTTTGGGTGTCAACATGCCTCCTTCCTCCAGTCTGAAGCACCATCCCATCCATCCCAGACTGGGCCAGGAGCAGCTCTCTGCTCACACTAGAAAAGGTGTGTGGAAGTCCTCCGGAACCTCTGAGACAGACAGGCTGGAACGGCACACCATCGCCGCAGCCACCCCCCCGCCACATGTTCACTTTAATGAGGATTAGTATGCTTGGCATGAAAGTCAGGCAAGTTTTTTGGGAGCCAGGGAGAGCTTAAATGCTGCCTGTATTTATCAGAGATAAAAATCACCCTTAAATGAGATCATGATACATTTCTGGTTCTGTGTTCCTATTAAGCTCTTCACCAAACTACATATGTAGCACCAGTGTAAAACATGTGTAGAGATGCTGCCGTTTGATCTATATCTTCTTATGCTGAAGTAAAAGGACATCACTGATACAAATCCTATTAAAGGAGTTCAGGCTAGGCAAGCAAGCATGTATTGAAATAATATAAATATAAATAATCATTGTGCATCTTATGTAAACTTACATGTTAATTTAGCACATTGTTTCTCAACCCAGACCTTGGGGATACACAGATGGTCCAAGTTTTTGTTCCCACCAAGCTCCCAAGCAGAAATGTGGACTGTCTGGCAGGGAGCTGGGAGAGAGCAAAAACATGGACCGTCTGTGGGTCCCTGGGGACTGGATTGGCAAACACTGATTTAGCGGATGCTTTTGTCCAAAGCAAGATAAAAGTGAAAAAAGCCTGGGGGTCAAACATCATCCAGCTCCCCTGGAAGAGCTGCAGTGAAGGGGCTTTACTCAAAGGCCCAATGGTGATATAATTACACGTACAGCCACGGCATGGACTCCATGCCCTTCTGGACATAAAGCACAACCCAATGTACTACGCACCACCTCCTCCTTATGCAAAATTTCATATATCATATATATTCCATGTGTCTATTTGGGAAATACATAATCATTTTAAAAATGAGTGTCAAAAAATAACCATTGTAACAAAAAAAAAACTCTACCTAATAAACTCCTGAGTCGATGCAAACCAAAGAAAACTAAAAATACTATATTACAATATAAAAATCATTGCAGGATTGCTGGGCTACTCCAAGGATATGTGTGTCGAGATATTTCAATATGAAATTAATATCATTCTGTCTCTGAATGGTCCTTGTCGTACTCAAAAGAAATTTCATAGCAATTTATTTTCTGAGCTGAAGAGGAGGGAAAAAAAGACCGATACCCTCAACACTGAATGCACTCTCTGTATTCCAGGGTTTCTCCTGCTATAGTATTTGTCATCTGAAACCTCACCTTGATGCTTGCAGTTTTCATTTGCTTATTTCCACGGGAAGCTACTGCATTACACCCCACCCCCCCCCACGCAACCGCAGTAACATGGTGACCACCGGCATCTGATCATCTTCAGTCCTTTTGCACATGATGACTGACAGTCAACTGAAAGCTAAAATATGCAACCAAATGCCAGTATTTGTAGGGCATTATATATTTCACCCAACCTTCACTCACTAAAAAAAATCCCTCATTGGCTGATGGTGATCGACAAATTACACCCTTTGCTGAGCCACATTCCACTCTCAACCGCGGCCTCTCAGGCGGGTTAAAGATACTTGGTCATCTTACAGCTGGGAGGATTCATATAGAAATCAAACGCGCTCCAGTTAAGTCTAAAATACATTCTGTGTCGTTTGTCTTCCTTCTAAGCGTACATGCCGAGAGCTGATAAACAACATCAGAGAAACCTTATCAACCAAGTGCTCCTTTTCCAAGCCAGCAATCCCTGGAGCTTGGAGATCAGAGCATGTGGAGGACGACCACGGCGGATGCACAAGCCTAAAAGAAAAGGGAGGGAGATGTGTGGCATTGTACGGGGCCGGCTGGAACAGAGGCACGAAAGCGGGCGTAGTGATACATTAGGAATTAAAGAATCAACTGGTTTATAATGCACATGGTTTGTCAGTGAAGTGGCGAAAGCACCATCATATGTATTTCATACTAAAGTATGAAGGCACAGAGGGTATCACTCACCGCACACTTCCATGGACAGAGGTCTGAATCATACCCCTGAAGTCTGCACGTTTTCTCGGGGTCATGCAGGCTGCCTCTCCGCCAGGCTGCATCCACATGCTCCCAGGGAACAGATCCATCTCCCCCAGTCCAGGATAAGTGGCTGGAGATAGCTGGGAAGAAGGGAATACTTGACACAAATGGTTGAACCCGCAGTGATGAGTGAGTCCTAGTGAAAACATTAGCTAGTGTGCTTTAAGCAGACCCAGCCGAACAGTTATGATTTAAGGCAAATCTCTTTTTAAATACCCATTTTGGAAAAACTGTGTTTATCCAGTGTGCCGTCATACCTCTGAACAGATTTTGACTAGTCAGGAGGGCAGGAAAAAACCTCCGATATCACTTCTATGGTCTTATGAAGATGCAGCTGCTGACAATGGCAGAGACATGCATTAGATCTCAGCTTTATACTGAAGCTACACTCTTATTGCTCTTTGTTCAGTGGTGCATTAATGTATACAGCATATACTGATTACAGAGGTTTTTAGACATGTGTCATTCAAGGATCTGAACTTTAGCCCCCTGAAGAAATACGGGACACCACTCCCAGGTCCCCCCCCCGTTAAATTCGCTGAATGGAGGGGGAGGAGTCCCCCACAACAAAAACTTGCCAAGTGGGGGGGGCACCAGCAATGGAAGAGATGGAGGCGGGACATCCACCCAAGGGTCAGTCATGGCAGGGGACTCACTGCAGAGATTTACCAAGCCCCCACCATGGCTGGCAAATTGTAATAAAATGTTCCTTTGGATAACAGGCATTCATGCAACATTCACAGCAATCCCCCCCCCATTACATCCCTCCTCCGCCCCTGGTGGGGACATCATGTATACAAAGTTATGGGATAAATCACTAAGTTCTAGACTATGGGTCTAGAACTGGTTAGATACACTGATGGGCACACAGAAGTTCTATAGGACATGAGACCAGCGTCGGTGTGTATTGGGGGACATACATACCTGCACGGGGTGCTGGGCTCAGAAGCGAGGCAGTCATGACAAAACACATATTTAGGTGTAAATATAGCTGAGATTAAATTCCACATAAGTTAACATGCAGGCAGGGGGCAGAAGTGCAGTGGACGATGGTGGAGGCAGAGCGGGAAATTCAGCAACGCTCCTGGTCTGCCGTGCTCCAGAGGTCACGGACACCCTGTTTACCTCATGCGACGCACCCCGACATTTTCACCACAAAGCCGGCGCCCGTGAAATGCCACTGAGAAAAACTCCGGTGAGCCCGTTCATACAGGGTGCACCCGCCTTAGGCAAAACGTGCCGGTTAATATTCTCCCACCCCCTCTGCGTTTTGACTGAGGGTGATTTTGAGTTATGATAAAACTAACAAGGAAGGTGGGGACCACAGCTGGGTTCATTAAGCCGAACGTGCCCGGGTGCAAGCAATTAGGAATGGTTCTTTCGCGCGAAGACCGGCGTAATGTTGGGCCGATTCAGTGTAAATGGCACATAAGTGGCTGGGTTTTGGCGACCAGGAAAGTGGTTAATTTAAAAGTTCCATCATTCCCCACTGGTTCGGCACACTCTTCGAAAAAGGTATGAGACTTACTGGAGTGCCGTGGGCTGCACTGGTTTCCACTCGGCCTCAGCTCTTAATTACCACGCCAGAATAATTTTCATGAGTAAATCAAGTCCTCTGGAGTATCAGCTGTCGGTCAGGCGATAATTTTTAATTACGATTTAAAACCTACAAGATGGGGGCCTCAAACCTGGTAAATGTCATCAAATTTACTTCATTAATTTCTTTAATCTTCAACTCCAAGTAAAAACAGCCAACTTTAAACCATTAAGAAGGTTTGTTAGTTGCCAGCTGATACATTGATGGGGTTTACATGCAGTTTTGCTTAAACTTAAGTCAACACAGGACCCACTGATAAGCAGCAGCGACTCAGTAAGTTTAAATGGTTAACAGTACCATGGAAGTCTGTTGGAACAAGCAGATTTTTGCAGCTTAAAATGGAACGTTCTGTGCTATTTAACAAGTCCAAATTATCCACAAAGGCATCCACTCGTTTCCAAGCATCCCAAACCCATTTAAAATTCAGCTAAAACTTCCCACTTTGAAACAAATGTACCAACTTCTGTCTGCAGAATCTAGCAAAATGTCCCAGAATAGTAGGCAAATAACTACAGCAGTTACACGGTTATGGGATGGTAACAGTCTTTACTGGAGGAGGGGGTGTCACATCCCAGCAGATCACGGTTATGGGATGCTAACCGTCTTACGTAGAGGAGGGGGCGTCACATCCCAGCAGATCACGGTTATGGGATGCTAACCGTCTTACCTGGAGGAGGGGGCGTCACATCCCAGCAGATCACTGTTATGGGATGCTAACCGTCTTACCTGGAGGAGGGGGTGTCACATCCCAGCAGATCACGGTTATAATTCAGCAGATGTATCATTAACATTAATAGGTTCTTTGAATGAATACATTGCAGTCCCTTTTTCTAAATGTGTGTTTAAATCAGCCTGTGCGAATTCCCCACTCTGTACCTTATTATCGCAGGGAAGTTAAAATTATACCCTTAGGATGCTCCTTGACATTACTGCAAACAGAATAAATGTAGCCAGAATTCTGTTGCTCCTGAAAAATATGCTGTGGACTTATCTATACCCACCGTCTCAAAAGACGAAAATGTATTCACTCGAGTTTCCCAAGCAAGTAACTTGTCTTTCCCTCCAACATATATCACCCGTGGGTAACATAACGACAGTTAAGAAACAAGTGCGTGAACACAATGCCATTAAACCTCACCTTATTTAATACTTTGTGTCACAATTAGTCCCACCCAGCTATTTGTGACCATATTTTTACAGGCAAGAGTAGCAGAGCTGTCTGTGCCATCTATGTTTGCTCTGCAAAGTGATGTGCACTACCTGGATGCATTTAATTAGGAGAAAGTGAAAAATGACACTCCAAACTCGAAGAAGTCCACTACAAGTAAAATCTTAACAAAATCTTCATATTTTACCAATATTTTTTAAAACAGATCCAGAATACAAAAAGTATTCAGTTCATTTCTTTACATCCGCATTACAAAAATTCTCATACTGCAAGTCACTCAAGTATTCCCATCCAATAGGTCTGGTTCATGCTCACACGCCTGTACTTAAGATGGTAAGCTTCCTTTGTGAGAAAACGGTGCCATCAATATGGGGCATATCTCAACTGTAAAAAGAGGAAATGGACTTTCACTGGGAAGGCTCGCACTTTTAAAATGTCAGCTAACAAACAGGGCTAAACATTCGACATATGCAGTGTCTCCCATTAAATCAATGACGCATTCATATAGAACTCTGTGATAAAAAAAAACACTGCATTATGGGAACTAGTGCAATCTGGAGAAAGCCTGGTCTCTCTTGACAAGGCAGGCACACAGTTAAATAAAGACATAATATAAACTCTGGAGAAATGGCATAAAGTTTTAAGGCCATCTGACATTACTGAAACTGAGAAAGGCTGAGGGGTGAAACTGAACAATTCCGTCTGATAAACAAGTTAAACGTTACACATTTGTGGTCAACCAGAGATCAATCAGAATTACACATGTATATGTGAACCAGTTTGGGGCAACTCTGTTATAAAAATAAACTGAATTGAACTGAATCAAGTAGTGGGGGAACAGGAAGAGGTTCACACAGCAGTCCAAAGCTTCCCATGTTTGCCCCCAGGAAAGTCTTTTTTTTTTAAAAAAAAAAAAAAGCGGTCAAGACTGTTTGAGCCTCTTGCGGGGCAGACTGAAAGGAGGACACTGCGCAGAGGCCAGTGCGCGGAACGCTTCGGCCACCAGGTGAGGGTGCGACTGGATCATTGACTTCCAGCCGGCCGTCTCCATTATGTCCGTCGTATGACTGGAAAGAAGAAAATGACCTTTTTTAGGGCATAGAGAGGCACACACAAAGACCTCACATAAATTCATATTCTATAATATAATTTTGTGTTTTTCCACTGGCATATGGGATCCAGCCAGTACCCAACCCATACTGGGAACAGGCACTAGAGCACGGTTCCAGCTCACTTCTGCATTCTACTGCAGAAAGGTAGGCTCAGTAAAGGGGGTGCCGGGTTCAGAGAGTGACAGCGACATAAAACCTAAGACATTTAATAACTGTTCAGACTGCACATCATGATTTAGTATATGCTAATTTCCGCTAACACATATATGAGAATCACTGTGTAATGTTAGCGTTAAATGCTAGTGGAATTGGCATTAGCTTGCATAAGTTTGTGTTACAAATCCATTCAGCTCAGCCATTCTATAGCACTCAGTAGTAGAGCACTACAGTGCGAAACTACCAATAATGAATAATCTATAGAACATGCCGTTTTTCCTTCAGATAATCCATGCATATCGACTCATATCAACAGCTCTTTTTAGACTCCATGCATTATGACCAATAGGACTGGTGGCGATGCAACCAGCTGTTGTCACGCTTTTGGCCCTGCTAGAAAGCGAGACCGTGTCAGCGCGTGTATGCTGTCGGTACAGCGCACATAATTCACAATGGAAAACTCTCTCTTTGCAGTTTGGCTAGAGTATGGTGCGGTACTTGGTGGCAGTAGGGAAGCGCCAAAGGTGAGTACAGTGACCCCCGCCGATCGCGGAAGTTACGTTCCAGACCCATCAGCGATAGGTGAAAATCCGCAATATAGAAAAACCATATAAACATTTTTTTTTCTATAGTTTAAGCTTTAAAATACCCCTCCCACACGCTTTAAACATGTAAACTTATTAAAACAACACATATATGTGGATGATGGGATAAGGATGAGTAACATAACAATAATAGAAAGACAATATGAAATGTGTATATTATATATATATATTACACACACACACCTATCTCTGTATATGTAATGAAAAATATAAAAATGAAAACCTATATGGCTCTTTTATATTTTTTCCATCCTTCCTGATGTAGCGTACCGTCGATTCATTCAAGCCGTAACGGCGAGCAACGTCCGCGTAACGCTTTCCTTCCCGAAACGTATCCAGGACTTTTACCTTCTCCTGAACGGCGCTGGCGCTCAGGCTCACTATCAGAAGGCTTAGAAGATGCGGGACGTTTGGGAGCCACTGTAGGGCTTTAAACGAAATGAAAACAAAACAATCGGACCGCAAGCAAGGGACGCGATACCTGGAGAGCTGAGACACGTCGGGGAGTAATCTGCGGTATAGCGGGGGTGCGATCGCCGATCTGCGATATAGCGGGGATCACTGTGTGTGTGTGTGTGATTTTTTATATATATTTATATTATATTATATATACTCTCTCTCTCTCCAAAAACAAATCCTGCCTTTCACACAAATACGCAAGATGGCTAGAAGGCTGTGCTCTGTAACCAACAGAGTACTTGAGTGTCTGGTGTATTCATGTGAACAGGTGACATTAGGGAGGCCACGACCGAAAATGTCTATAGGACTCCCCCTGAACCATGGCCATGTCGACGATGAGGCTATCGGACATATGCTGGGATACAGACAGAAGTTGCCTCATTGCAATTTCCTCCGTGCGCCATTCAGAAATTGATCCCTTTTCCCAACGTTATCCGGGAAAGATTTCATTAATAATGCTGATACAGAGATAGGGAAGCCAGTGAAGAACGAAGCCAGCCTATCCATTTGTGCTCCCAAAAAAAAAAAAAAAAAAAAAGGCACTGTAATGCATCTTGGCGGATGAGATAAGGGTTTGTTATTAATCGTGTGTCAAACACATCAGCTAATTGCATACTTGCTATTCCAGTTTTTTCCATCTTTACAGCCCAGCTGTCGCAGGACGCTGCACCTATGATAAGAACAGAAAAAACAAAAGAAAAATGTTCAAACTCGCACTCCACAAAGGTGGCACAAATTCACCACAGAGCGCCCGTCGCGATACCTGCCTGTTAATGAAATCTATGGCTTGTGCCTTCAGCTGCTCTGCGCTGTGCAGGTCTGCGAGGATGAGGACATCGGCCACATTCTCCACGGAGAGACTGCTGCACAGCGCTTCCTCACACATGACCTTTAACCTCTCCAGAGCGTACTGGGATGGCAGGGGGGGTGGAGACAGCAGGGGAGAGGAGCGCCAGACAGGACGATAAGTTTCACCCGCAGTAACCTCGCTCCGGTCGCCTCTTAAGAAACGGCCAGACAGGCAGAAAACCGCAGGAAATCGAAGATCAAAAGAACTTTCAGGTCACTGGAATTAAGCTTCTTAAAAAAACCTGGCCAAGAAATTGAGTGAGGAGGGGGGGGGGGGGCTCTGGAAGTACAGGTTCTTGTATCACAGTCCAACTCACATCATTCTGGTATATACAGTCATGGAAAAAAATTGAGACCACTCTTTTTTTAAATCAAATCTGCATGTTTAAATCCTGGTTTAATTCTGGTTCTGCTGGCAGAAGGCTACACTGAGCAGCAGTTTGCTTCTAGGTTCAAAAATTCTCAGACAGCAGTACACAAGAATAAGGAGCTGCTGGGAATGACCAGAAACCAGCCAGGCAAAGGGCAGAAGTGACTTTCTAATGACCGTCAACTTATCCGACAGTTTATCATGAAGAATCGGAAGATGACATCAAGTGACTTTCAAAAAGAACAGGAAACATTAAGTGCAGGTGTGAGGTTCACTGCTAGGACAGTTCGCATCAGGCTCCTAGAAGCAGGACCGAAGCCCCATACAAGCAAGGAAGAAGCCCTTCATTAATAAGAAACAGAGAAGAACCAAGGTGTAGTTTATACTATTATATCATATATATTTTGCATATTTATATTCAGAGACACACCCATAAAGTGAGAAATAAAAAGCAAAAAATTGTGCTGTGGTCTGAATTTTTACCATGGCTGCATCTTCTATGACTAAAATTAAGAGCGATTTTGGATGATTCTCAATAGAGCGTTTTAGGTACTGAACAAACCCACTTTTCCTTTATACCATCTAGTACTAAAACCCTACCATGGTCAACCCAACATCTAACTAAGCTGGGCTATTCGGAGGCGACACAGGAAAACAAGGCAGACATTTTTAATAAAGAACCGACATGAAAGCGAGACTCCTGCTGCCTCAGCTTCCCCTTTGACCAGATCGCTCTCTAAAGCCACGATCCGACCCAGAGGACCAGTAAACACGGACGTCACAAACAGCTAACCTTGTCTGCTGCAGCCAACAAGTTGTCAGCCATTTTCTCCAGATTCGGTGCTTTCCCTGTGTAAATGAAGCTCATCATCTCTTTGAAAACATCAGGCTCAATGTCGCTTATATCTACGCGGTTCTGTGGGAATGCACAGTGCACATGTCATTTCAAAAAGGAAAAGGAAAGGATTTAGTGCAGGTCACTCAGTACACTTCACCATAGACGTCCTTTGAGATATACGTACTTTTTTACTTTCCTCCATTTCGTGCTCGAACATGGCATTAAAAACAGGCGATCTCGCTGTGAAATGGTACAAAACGGAAAAAATGAAACATTATAATAGCTCAGAGCTCAATCAGCTCAGACAGCTGTAGTGAGAATTTGTTAAGCAGCGAGAATTAAAAGGCGTCATACTTATGGTCCACGTTATGAGAACTGCCGCAAACTATGTATAAAAGGAGCAGACTCCTCAACATCAGAGCCATACTGATAGTCAGCATGGTGGGAAGTGGACGAGGGAAACGGCTTTACCTGCTAATATGGATTTGTGAGCCTTGAACTCCTGCCCGCATACGTAAAGGCTGCAGTCGGTGAAACGGGAGAATTCCCAAAGGTTCCCGAGGTCGTCCGACAGCTGGCACTCCGGAACCTTCAGCATGTTCATGTTGGACTGGCCGGAGATGTTCACGGAGTCCTGGACTACACTCACCTAGGACAGTTACTACACTTACTACACTGCACACAGAATGCTGCAGAAAGCACTACACAAAATGGCCTCTTCCCAAAGTGAAGAATGTACTAGTTGGGCCAACATACAGGAAGACACCCAGGAAACCAGGGAGTAACAGGTACTTCCAACGTGACTCGAACACAGAACGTAACCAAACTGGCTCCCTGCTGCCCTTATAACACAACCAATCAAATTTTAAATTAAACAGCTAATAAGCAAATGTTCCAGTCCAATTTTCATCTGGCAAGAGAGAAAAAATTGCCAATTAGCCTACAAATGCTGATGATGCTCACAAAAGTGAACCTGTACTCGGAATTTCAATATTTTTATTCCAGGAAGCATTTATTTTCCATTTAGGGACAGCTTTAATTTAATATTGTCTATAATGGAAGGAAAATATTCCTTTGGAGATCTTTTACAACCTTCTACAATGATAAATCAATGTTTAATTGTGCAAGAAGAAATTCCAGCTCATTTCACGAGATGTTTTAATCCAGGGAGAATTAAGATCTACTTGAGACCAGTAACACATAGAACACATTAGAACGACTGTCCATTTTATGTAAAGTTTCTATAATCATTAGTTATCCCCTGCTTATCTCGCCACCAAAGTGAGATTTCCAGTTTTGATGTTACACTGCAATTATACACAAAAAACACAATTCTTAAAATGAGCGTTTCCTGCAGACATTCCATGTTTTTGCTCCGACTGGGAGCTGGGAGGAAGCAAAAATGCGAACATTCTGGCAGGGAGCTGGGATGGATCCAAAATGTGGACCATCTCTGGGTCCCTGGGGATTGGGTTGGGAAACACTGTTTTAAATGTAATGAAGTCTCGATGTTTTTTTCGTTCATTTTTGTTTAAAATACTACCTTTAGCTCAAATATCATTACCATTTTAACCGTTTAAATTTCAGGAACTGAAGTAATACTTTTGTAAATTCTATTTCAATTTTCTGGTATTCTATAATATATAAATACAGGTATAAGAAAATTCATATACATAAATGCATAAACTAGATAGGTAACAATGACTGTCGGCCGCTTCAACATAAAGTATGAATGAAACACTTTGGCCTGAAAAATCAAAATGATGAATGTTAGTGACTATGAAAGGTGATATTCAGTGAGGAAAATGAGAGACTGAACAAGAAACTATCTTTTTTTCTTGAATCACACATATTTCGGTTTCACAGACCATGAGAAGGAATAGCTGACAAGCGGGTACGATTACCTCACAGAACAGCGTGAGTTTGTCATCGGGTAGGAGGCCGTTTGCTTCGTCAAGCAAAAAATCTCTCCTAATGAACTTCTTGAATCCCCAGTCCTTCCCTTGAACAAACCGGTATGCTCTTTGGCTTTCTGGAAATGACACGGTTCGGTTACATTTGAAGGACCCCGCTTCTTATGAGATTAACATATATGGTCAGTGGGCCATAGCAGAAAACAAAGTAGGAGAAAAACCACAATATTACAAGACTGAGGCCATGGTTCATTGAACGTTCTAGAACATTCTGATACCATTACACAGATTACAAAGTGAGACCGAATAAACGCCAGGTAACGTTCAGCTGCCACAAGCTTAAGTGTCATAACGCACCATGCAGACATCCCACAATGCAGCAGGTCCTCACCCATGGCTTTAGTTTCCTCTCTCTTCGCGTTGAGCAAAGAGAACTTGAACTTCGCCCTTACTTCGCTTTTCGGACAGCTGACGAGCAGCAGGTATAGCGACAAATAGTCCTTGCTCTCGTCATCGAGCCCTTTGGGGTTCACACGCAGACACCTGCCAGAAGGAGAGGGGAACAGTGTGAAACGTTCAGTGACGGACATCCGTCAGGTCACTGGGAAACGCGCACAAGGCCCAGTTTGATTAAAGGATGCCCACGTGGGGCCAGCAGACGAGGAAGGTAAGCCATGTACAAAAACAGTGAAAGTGCCGTACCGTGTGCTTAGCGAGGATGTGGGAATTAAGCGGATTCTGTCCTCTCCGCTTCCTAAAGAGGACTGACAGAGCTGGGCTTTGCCCAAAAGCCATCCTGGGATTTCACACCCATCTTACTGCCTATAAACTAGCAGTCAGTGCAGGGCTCTCAGTTTCCCCGATAATTTCCCAGCGGTGGGTCACGTCCGTAGCAGGACCTCTTACCATTTCATCTTGTCATTTGGACCAGACGAGAAGGTTGAACTCTTCAGCACCTCCCCCATTTCTTCTCGGCAAAAGCTGAAGTTGTTTATGGTCCACATGTAGGAGAACTTCACTACCTTCACCTAACAAAACACCACATTCCGAGTAAATTCCAGCACTTCGCTCCCAATCGGGCATTTGGAGAAACGAAACATTATATGTCCACATTATATGATTACCATTTAAGAGGACGTCTTCCTGAGATAATCAGATTTAACAGAATTACTACTGGGCATCTTGCTGGTGAGGCAGCAGTCAGCCAATACATAGAAATATTCTTAGATTCTCCTATATATTAAAGAAATAGAATCAGTTTCTGTAATAAATTTCACACAGCTGCATAAACGAAACAAACTAATAAAATGTCTCATCATTAGGCGTAACTTATGAAATGTTTCTTATCAGTACTGTTGCAACTAAATAAAACAAGACAGTATATGAGAAACAAATTCAGAAGAGCATTGTTCTGAAGTCATATTGAGAGATGGTGTATTATAAGACAGCTGCCCCTTGTTGCAATTAAGTTAAAATATGTTTAATAAAAATATTTTGGTCGTATCACGTTTAGTGTAAACGGCAGGAAATAAGCAAAGTAACACCATTACATTTTTCTATAGCTAAAAATACATTCAGTAATTGAGGCTTAATGGCTGGAACGAGTGAAGCCAGGAGAAGCATTACTTTCAGACAACAAAGGAGCCTTAATTCTCATAATGTGAACTTGACGTCTAGAGGCATGGGTCAAACTCTGAGTAACTCAACAGGGGAAAACACACAGCAGCCTCTAGACTCACACTGACATTAATCCAAGAAGAAAAATATATAAAAAGGGAAAGCAAGGACCCAAGAGGAGGACTGCAAAAGGCACCTGACTTCCATGGATTATTGTTTGAATTACACTCCAGGAACTTCAATAGGAACGAAATAGTATAGCTTGCATAACATTTGCAAAACTTTACAAAATACCCCATCCGTGAATTTCAGCTCAAGTTAAAAGGTTAAAACAGTTGATCATATAGCCCAAAACATGGGCGTTTCATGTACATATGAACCTAAAATTGCATGTGTACAGTATTAATCATTTTGTAAAGTGAAAAATACAACAATGAAGAAGCAGAAGCACACTCTGCAACACACAACAAATATAAGCTAATTACCTGCGTGTAGCACCAGCTCTCAGCCACGGGCCCGGTGGCCATTTCCCCTGGCGGGGGAGGGGTGGGGACCTTTGCCATTGCCAGCTTAGCTCCCCCCAGGGCAGAAGAGCCGACGTCCCTTTAAATCTCACCACTTAACCTTACTGGAGGAAGGGAGCGGAGACATTATCAGGAAATAAATAAATAAACAAGCCGAGCCAATTTCACACCGTGCCTCAACCGGGCAGGTCAGGCTCGCACTTCACTTTCATCAGGGCCCTATTTAGGGGGCAAAACGGCATCGGATCTCAGAAATTAGCCTCCGAGGAGGAGAGGGGAGCGTAACGAGGGCGGCTGGGAATCTCAAAGCTAGTTGCATGATGCTTGCTCCTAGAAAGACTGTCCAGACTAACGTAGTGTTAAATCAACAATATTCCACGGAATATTACGTAAATTCTCAGAAGGGGTGGCGGCAATTTTGGCCATAACTGGAAGCAAACCTGAGGGAGGGTGAAACCATTTTCTGGGACTCCCTTTTGCCCTGACAGACAGGTTTTTTGTCATCAGTCACAGCAAGTCCCCTGCAGGTCTGCACATGCTCCGTAGCTAACTGAGGGCAACAGCACAAGCCGGGGCACATCCTGAAGTGCCCCCCCCCCCCCAAATTCCATTTGTTCCTTCTCTAGGACTGAGCAGCCCTGTGTGTACGGCCTCAGACGAGCCCGCACAATGAAAGGCAGGTGACAGATTCACACCAAGCAATTCAAATCAGGGGATACAGTAAGAAACAATAACTATTCTCAATATAGCACCAGGTGCAACATTTTCATTACTAACTGCCAACCAAAAATAAAACTGACGATAATTAATTCTTCACACGACGGAGGCTGTGATGACTGTTTTCACTTAACAGTATTAGTCATCTTTTGCTTACCAGTGACAATTTCAACATCCGTAGTGAGTTCAGGGGAAAGAAAAAAAATTAAAAAAACAAATAAATGAGCAGAGCATGTTTTGACACGTCCGAATAAAGGGACCTTGAGCCGGGGAAAAATAAACCTATTCCCCAGGGTAGCGATGCTCACTGTTTTAACATCGATGTCTGACATTGGTTTATAATCAAAGCATAAAGTTAGCTGAAGAACCTCTCTTCCTAACCATTACTCCTCACTCAATGATGAAGTGCATGTCGACAAAGCCAACGGGTTAAACAGGGGAGAAATATCTACCCAACCCCTAGCTTGAAATAAGTTAACCTTTAATAATACATATTTAATACAAAAAAAAAATAAGCATCAGGCACAACGGACAATGTTTTCTGTTAAAATTAAATAAGTGGGGAAAAGGTTAACTAATTAAAGTATTTACTTACTACAGACTAGAGTTAATCATCTCTTATGAAGAACATACAAAACTTAACAGTTCAGAGTTGCCTCTTCTATATAATTAAAAAAGCTGAAATGCTTCATGGTAACTTCAAAGTAAAATTAAAACCAATACGCAAGGAATCTGTAAAACCCTATGAAGACAATTCGAAATTCTAATTAAATGAATTTATGAAATTGTGTTGTACTTACAAAATATTTTATGAAGAGCATATATCTCATGCTATCCTTGTTGACATCCCCCTATGCAGTCTGACAGAAAGGTGGGGGGGGGGGGGGGGGGGGGGGGGGGGGGTGGAAGTCTCCACCCATGACAGGGGAAACATGATTATTGGGGGGGGGGGGGGAAGGAGCGACCCAAAGGGTACGACGGGAGGGCAGACGGGCTAAATAATCACAGCATGTCTGTTGGCCTCTTCTGTTGAACCCATCCTAAAGAAAAAGCAACATTTTTATCTTAATTTTTATTTTTCAGAAATTTCAGATGAGCAAGAAGGATCTGTCAACTGCATTAAATGCCAAACATAAACTATAAAATGAAATCACATGAACCTCAAAACCTGGACCAGGATTTAGAAGATGGGTGGGAGGATGAAGACAATTTTTTGAAAATATGGTCACTGTGTCAAAATCGCGCACCACTCAACAAAAAAACTCCACCTGTTAGACACTAAAAACTTTCCCATAAATATTTCAAACATTTAACATACTTTCTGGGAAGTGCAAATAAATAGATCTGAATTGGCTCTAGTTCCGCATTAAGTTTTTTTATTATTGTTGACACAGGTCATACAAGATATACCACATGTTAAGATAAATGAGATACCTACGGTCTAGCTACAGACCTTTGTATTAGGGGCACAGATCTACCATTTAGGCATCTGATGTTGCTACAAAGCATTATGAGGCACAAAGCATAATGGATGTTTCTACTGAGTTTGGGGAATGGTAGAACTTGTGTACTTTACTGAATTATGGGTTCACATTTTTCAAATAACACCATATTTCAAGTGATTAGTTATAAATATCTAGTGCATGAAAAGGTGGCATCAAACTCCTTGCTGGATTGAACACAGACAGTTAATATTGTATTAGATAAGAGAAAAAAAATCCCTGTTCTGGTTGATACCACAAAAAGGTTAGAGATCAGAACATGACAGTTGAATATCAGAAACCAGCTCGATTTCGTTTCCTCTGTTAAATTAACGGAAATGCACCTAACGCACAAAAAAAGCCTAACCCAAACGCCTGAAGACGGTAGACGTGACCTGGCTACAACCACAGCAAACATCCCGAACTCAACGCTGTTAGTACATGTCGATCCGCTGATGAATTCCTGGGGGGGTCTCTTCGCCACGGAACTCAGAGATAAGATAAGATTCAGATAAGATACGATACTGTATTAGGGTACGTAGCAATTCATGTGGGAAGATGAGCCGGTTCATTACATATAGGGTACACGACAAACATGTACACCGACGAACATAGTACACGTGTGTATGTAACAGGCGTGTATGTGTAATATGGCAGCATCGTGCCAAAATGTAACAAAACAAACATCGATCTAAAAGTACTTAGTGCTAAAGTGTCTGATTTAGCTAACTGTGTTACACGATCGGACATAAGGAGCATACTCATAAGCATGAGACGTCAGCTCCTGGGGATGATCCAGACTAGCCAGTCAGTTAACTAGGTACAAAGTTTCGAAACGGTGTTGGCGTGAATCACTTGGGAAACTTTTTAAGTGTCGCATTTTCACTCGCATAGACAATAAACTCAAATGACCCCACTTCGGCATGATTTTGCGAAGGCAGGCGGTACTTTTTGGGTAAACAGAGGGAATTACCCAGTTACCCCATCTGTAAAGCGATATACCCCCACCGGCCGGGCATACATCCACACACGTACCCACACGGTCCGATTCAGAGCCGGTGGGGGGGGAAGCAGTCACACCGGAGGCACAGGCCAGTCGGCATGGGGAAAACCCCAGCTAGGGCTCCGGGCCGCTTCCCCGGCCGGCGTCTCAGCCCGCAGGCGGAACGCGAGCGCTGACTGGGGGGTTTACTCAGGCGAACCGGCTCGGCCTAAGTGACCCTCCCGGCCCATAACGAGCACCGCATCCAGGAAAAAAAGGCCTATCAAAAAAATTCACCCGAGTTTCTCAAAGTATCTCATATCACGTTAAGACGAGCAGACAGAACCGGCAGCGGCGTTTAAAACGCCCAGGCGTCACCGACATCACTTCTTTGTGTGAGAAACCCCACACCGTTGGAGGAAAATAATAATAAAACCATTTACCTACGAACCTTTCCTTTACTCCTCCAGCAAAGTCAGACCCTCGGGGGGGTCGTTGGTGCCGCTCACCCCGTCCCAGTGTTGTTTCAAATTCGGGGAAACAGAACTTTTTTTAAAAATTCTCCCCAATATAAAAAATTGTGTTTTTCTTCTGTCTCAAAACAGCTCGAAGCCCATAGCAGTTTCGGGGGCTCTCTCGAGCCTGCCTCCGCCGCGCACTGCGCATGCGCGCCACTCCAACTTCCTGATGCCGGCATACTGCAATTAATACTGCATGTGCATTTTTTTCACGGAAATAAGTTATTTCCATGCAATGACTTTAATTATTCCAGAGACTTATATTTAATGGCAAAGGGTTTTAACTTGTGGGGAAATGTTTTAAAAAAGTTGCGGCTGCTGGAAAATCCAGTATCACTTCAAATTAAACGGTTCAGTTGACGCCGTAATTATACCATCCAATAACAAAACTTAAAAAGTATCCAGTACTCAATCGGGCGCCTTGTTTTTTTAATATATACCAATATACATTTACCACAAGTGGGACTGATGGAATTCTGCGTGGTTTTTCGATTAGAAGGCACGTTGCCTCGTATAACAACACGATTTCTGGGTGCTTTTAATTTTGTTAGCCGTTTCTGAATCGTGAAAGCATATGTAAAAATGTAATAGTGAGATATAGCACTGTAATTCCAAGGTATTGATGAACTTTAATATTAAGTGTATTTTGAATTCGCGCATTCGTAATTAGCTTGTGATTAATGATATTTGTGGATGTATTGGCTGTGTTTTGAGTAAATTATTATTAATTAATGAAGTAGATTATCCCTATCAGTCGTTTGTGTACCTCGGACCTATTAAATTAACATTTTCTACATTTGTTTATATTTTAGTTTTTTAGTTTGTTAAATCTGATACAGCATTGATTATGTGATAAATCGTAATATTAGCTATGCTCAATAAGGATTTTAGTATTTGGTGTTTAATATACACATCTTAACTTATTTAAATGAACTCTAATTTCAAATGAATATATGAATATTAAATAGCGGTATGGAACAGTGACCATGTCCAAAAACAAGAAAAAACGAAAGCATCCAGGTGGGACAGTGGCCTTAGTGTATGTTTGTGTGTATCCTGCAATGGACTGGCATAACATTAAGGCTGTTCTCTTGCCTCATTGCTGTACATCCTGCAATAGGCTTCCTTTGGTCCCGTACTGGATACGGTGCTCTGTAGACGGTGGAATAGGATGGAAATAGGGTTGCGGTTTTGTGGTTTTCCTATTTCATGTTTAATTGCCCACGCTTAAAATGAATCCAGATTGTTTACTTATCTCTAATTTCTGAAGCCTTAGGAATGGTAGCTTAGTTGGTAGCTCTGTGCTTGCATATCTCCAGAGAATTATATCCTGGTTTTATGTGTGTAGAGCATCTTCTCCCTTTGTTACTAACATCTTTGGACTTCTTGTGTGGTTGAAACTGTACATAGAAATTGTTCTTAGTATCTGTGCACTGGAATAAGGCCAAACGTGTACACTGTGGCACTATGAAATTGCACTATACACACTGACGTCGGAAAGAAAAACAATGGAAAACAATATCATAATTATTATGAAAAGTTTGTCATTACTAACAAGACAAACCAGAATATAAACATATTTAGAACATTTTTCATAAAATGTTAACCAGTTCACAAGTACAATATCATATTATATGTGCACTAGTCCAAACTTGTCAGTTTTGAGTCTGAAGCAAGTAGGCTCATTATTCATGGCAAAAATATAAGATTGTATGACTCAATTGCAGTAATGCTAACAATAGTATTTCCCCCCCATTCATTTACTCCCATGTATTCAGCAGATATAATGTGACGGCACATTTATTCCGATTGTATTACAAAGGGTGAACTTTGATTCACTTTTTTCATTGATAGATAACGAGAACTGAGACTGTTGCTGCTATTGTTGTCACCCTGGTACATTGCCAAGATGACTTGGAAAGATGGATTCTTCAGTCATATTTTAGCAAAGACAGAATAATTTAAGGTGATATTTTAGATGGATAAAGCATGTCTGAGCGAAGACTGTCAATGACATTTTATTTATGTATAGCACTAACAAAAAGACTTGTCTTTTGACTTTATAAATTATTGCCATTTATCAGTCATGACAAGCTACATTATTACATTTTCATTGCCATGGCTAAAAGTAAAACAGTGGGGATCAGCAGCTACTGTCAAACATCCTGGGTTTCAGGTTCAAATTTTGTCCCAGCTTTCTGTGTACACCTTGTGTTGGCTTCCAAACACAATTTAAAGGTATATTAGTTTTATTATACAAGTACCCTCTGATGGGCTGGGAGCTCCTGCCTTTCACCCTTTTCCTACTGGAAATGGCCCCGGATTAATAAGTAGCTGTTGAAAATAAATGGGTTGAAAGAAAATTTCAAAGACAGTGTTAGGTTTTCACGGGCAGCTGCAAAAAGCAGCACCACTAATTTATATAACACTGAGAATGTTTGTATGAAAAGTGCACTTTTCATCAACACTCCGAGTGTTAAATTAACACTGAAGTGCAGGCTTATAAGGGACAGCTTGAAAAATGTGCCTGTAACAGACCTAGGCCTGCATAACAATAAGTTTATTTTAGTTATGTCTCTTTTTAAATAATAATTTTAAAATGACTATGAGTCTGTGGCATTTTATGTTTTCTGAAATATGAAAAAAATTCTAAAACATCTCCATACATCCTTGTAGTGTTTACTCTCAAACCTTAAACAGCTTTCTTTCTTTCTTTCTTTCTTTCTTTCTTTCTTTCTTCCATCCCTTACTGTTTGATTCTGTAGTGCAAACGTAAGGCATCTTTGAGAAAAGCTATTCCTCAATAAAACTCTGTAATGGCACACTGCAGTACTGTGATAACAAATTCCCTTTAAGTCGACAGATGCTTATTTCTCTAATTTAGCTGAAAATGAAAATTCTATTT